CCTGATTGGCTGTGTTTGCGTGGGCAGTATCAGCTGTGTTTCCAAAAAGTGTCAGGGTGTTCATTTCGTGAAGCGACAGTTAGTACGTCACCAAATAAGCGCCATCTTTGCCGGCATGTCATGCAGGCACTGGCCGGCGGTTCTTATTATAACCTTCGATACTTTCAAAACGATAAAATGTGAAGCAGCAATGTATAACATGCTGCGCAATTCTCTGGCGGGTAGCTGTATTGTTCATTTTGTCATCATTCCCATCCGCGTGTCTTCGCTCTCCGTGTCATCATCTGCTTTGCTGTGCTGCAGAGAACCAGTCAATCAAAGATTCTGGTGACTACGCGTGACCACCCCGCAGACCTCTAGTGACGACATCGACGGCAGGATTCTTGCCTCCCGACGCTGCCCAAAGACGGAGAAGGTCAATATTAAAACCCGCATGTATGCAGCCGTGCACGTGCCCGGCGACATTCTCTGAACTCACCTTCGTCTCTGCACACGACGGTTTACACCCGGCAGGGTTGTAATCGTACCTCGGCGAACGTCGCGGTCTCGTGCCGTGTCCTGATTCATATACGGCGAAAATAAAGTGCGCAGAAGAAGCCTGGGATTACGAATGGCCGAAAATCCCCAGAAGTGATGACGGAAGTGAAGAAGCATGGATGCGGACGGTGAGCTTCCGGGTTGCTGACCCGACTATGATGGAAGTAGCAGGGTACTGGCAATGGCTTCTTCGTGCGTCCTAACCGTACGTTTTTGCGTTGTCAGATAAAAACCCAAAAAAGAACCAACGAGTGCAGAAAAGTAAAGCAGGAGCGTTTAGAAGCTGGTCATCGGTAAATATTGTACGTCTTGAATTACCTATTATATTGCCATTGTGTTTTACCTCTACGTACTTCATCTAATGCCATTCCAGTACATTATAATTGAAATTATGCATAGATGTGGCACTAGTGTGCATAATGGACAGCATCCACAAGTTTTTGCTCGTCTTCATGTTCTAATATACATACAACATAATTATCTTCGTTCAACAGTTCTTCTGATTCAAAGTAGTCTCTGCTGGTTGTAGATTTACCAAAGTGCTTCCAACTGGCTAACTAAAACGAATGGCCCCTACACCCAAGACACCACTTGCCACACAAGGATGCCCGCGACAAGCGTGAAGTTATCCTGTCTTCTGTACACTTGCGCCCTTCTGCGCCTGGACTTGTGTTATCTGGCGCTTGAGATTTTCGGCGAATGTTGTCTTTACCTTGTCCTGTGTTGCGTAAAGGGGCGTCAGTCGGGGGGCCACTTGCCAGGAAGCATCATAGCTCTGCCGACTACATGCACTACGTGCTGGCTGAGGAAGGCGGTCTATTGTCCCCCCAGGGTACCAGCCGGAACGTACCCTGGATGACGCGTCCCGGGTATACCGAAGCGTACCTGGTACTATCTAAATGCGAAACCGTGCCGCCTAACTGCCAACTAACGAGTTCGTAGCGGAGGTCGCCTACGCCTACTCCGCCTAACCCTAAGCCCACAACCCTAACCCATATCAAATTAGTTACCAGGGCCACGTTACGCGGTATACCGGACCATAGCCCCAGCCGGTACGGTTCCGGCAGTACCGCTGGGGAATCATAGCACCCCTATGAGCATTAGGCCTATGCAACAGTAAACGGTTACGACTGAGAATAAATGTACATGTCTTCTGAAACGGGCCTCCCTTCTGAGTGTTATATATGCGAGTACCCACCGGAGATGCATCGGTAACCTGTTCTGCTTATATCGATCATCCAGTAGCTTTGTTGTTTTTCTAGAATCATGTGGCATTGTGTTATTGTGGCGTGGTGTGCGTGTGCGTGTGAGTGTGCGTGCTTACATGCGTTGTGTTGTAGGATTTTGTACGTAAAAATTACAACTAATTTGTGTATAACTTGACTTGGAGTAATCATCGCAGAAGAGGTTGAATGTCACAATCATGCAACTTTATCCAGGGCTTGATCCTTCTTCCGTTTCATTGCAAATCCTTTTGATTTTGCCATCTTTGAATACATTTCGTGGATTGCTTGTGTGATTGGCACTTCCAAACGAATGCCCATTGTGACTTTTTAATGCATTTATTGCTTTGTTTCTATAACTGAATTGTTTATTTAGATTTAATTATAGATTATTGTCAGTGTCTAGTCATGTGGTGCGTTTTTTGAATATTCATATATGTGGCAATCTAAATAGCAGTTTCCAAGTAAAGAATTTTTTTTTAAAATTACGTAAATGCAGGCCAATGTTAGCGAGTGTACATGTATAGTATATATAATATATATGTATAAGTGCACGTAATTGTAAAAATATCACTGTGTTAAAACCATGCATGTATATCAACTAGTTCTTACAATGACTAGCATAACGCTATTTACAAAAATTGACTTGAAAAGCTTCTATTCAGCAATAGCAGAGCGAAGTCTTGACAATACTTCGTAATTGGCTAGTTATTGTTAGCTGAATTGTTGTTTTGTGGAGCAAGCCACAATATGAACAGACCTACCATCAGCTTGTGGGCGTATGACCTTACTAATGCAATATGCCAAGCCAGCAAACGTTTCAGACGCAATTTATTAAAGCTTATCTGGTACCGACTATATTTAGAATCTCGCAACAGACACAGTGCGTCTATGATGGGTCAGCAGTCAATGCTGAAGGTTTATAAATAATCGCTCGGTAGGAAAAAGTTCAATTGGAAAAATCTCTTCCTATGCGTTGCACGCCAAAATTTATTGTGCGGGAAACTACTTGGCAAAAGGCATGCAATGTCTCTCAGGATATTATTACTGAGCAGATCCGTTCTAAAAATTTATTCATCGCTATATATTACAGCCACATTATGGAAGCAGGATTAAGAAATTTACCGTTTTAATATTTTCTTGGTTTTTACTAATTAAGTTAATCACTTCAAGTCGCAATTGCATCGTTAACAAAAAAGCATCGTTGGGTTGGATGTTGGAGCGTGACTGAGCAGCTAGTAGTCTGAAATCAAATGTGCTCGTTGTAAAACGCCTCGCTACCCGTTCTGTGATTTTTATTTTTGAAAGGCAAAAATAAGGAACGGTATATACCTTCCTTCCAGTCAGCAGTGAGGCATACGTTAACCATTCAGTATGCAGTATGAAACCCTTCAGGGTGATACATGATAGCGAAGGCAGGGACCGTAGAGGAATGGTTAGGTAGAGGCCAGCTGATCAATAACTGCAAGAATGAAGCCACAGGTGGAGGAGAGAGCCACACAGCCCGCTATGGTATCACAGCACAACTAAATATATACATTGTAACATATATATATATATACTATATTATTATATGATTTGATATATATAGTATATAATCCAGAGCTAATTATTATATATATCCAGAGCTAATTAATATATATATCCAGAGCTAATGCATATTAGTTATTATTAACTCTTATATGTATATACATCCCAAGTACGTGTATGTAAGTACGTGTACGAGGAGCTCTGGCTGAGGCAGTGGGCGTGTATGCTGTGTCCTCATGTCTCGCACTGACAGAGCCTGGCAGGATTCTGGTGAAACCCCACGAATAGCACAGTCTCTGATAGTAAAAAGAATGTATTTATATCCGTATTCGTTCAGCGTCCATATAAAGTTCGTACGATACCCCGCTGCTTCTACCATTGACTGTGTGCTAACGTTTTTGCTAGGCTCCTCTGACCCTGTAGGGCACGTACACAAGTTACACAACTAACCATTGTAACACAAATACTAACCATGTACTAATATAGCGTTTAGTTTCTTTGCTTTCTCTCGCCGTGTACTAACATCGTTTGTGTAGGGCAAGCATTGGGCAGCGGGATTCTGCGTTATACTCGAAACATCGCAGTCGCTTAACCTTTGTAATGTGGCGCCCCCTTCCCCCGATTGTACGTCATCACGATATCCCAATCTAACCAGTGACATTCAAACAAAACGGCATGTTCTCTGTGCAGTTTTGATTTGCTTTTGTCTGCGCTCGCTTCCAATTTTTGCGAAACGACATGCATTTTTGCCGAGAATGCAATTTTTTATCGTGTTTGCGAATGAAGTTTGGATACGATTTTTGGCATGGTTATTCATTGTGTTCCGGATCGCCCCTCTGCACCTTGAAAGCATTACACATCGAGCGGCAACTGATCTGCGTTCGAGCTCCGTGGAAGGCTTGCCACTCTCTCCATGACATTTCCCCCCGCGATATCTCGTGTTGCTTTGCCTGCCCATGTTGACTACAACACGACTGTTGATCTCTGCATGGAGCGTGCGTGCGTGCATACGTGCGTGCGTGCGTGCGTGTGTGTGTGGGTGTGTACATGCGTGCGTGTGTATGTGTTTGTGCATGTGTCTCTGTGGAAACAGAAGCATATTGTGGGACGTTGCTGTGAGGTTGCAGGTTGCATGCTGGTGATGGGTATCTCGTAGTTTCTGGCGTGTGCAGAGCATAGAATGAACAAATAGATAGAAGAAATAGAATGATTCACGGCACAGGTTGATGAACCAATGTTTGCATCACACGAGAATCAAATTGTCATGGAAATCACGCAATTTCGATTGTCAAAGCAGCATAGGTGCTACCTTTATATCGTATGCATCATACTGAAATAATAGACACAGGAACATGAAATTCTATATAATAGCCCTTAATTTTAAGGTAAGGTACGACAAGAGTAATACACATGTTACATATTTATATGGAGCTGATTGCATGAGTAGTATCACATCATTCACATGGTGATGTGTTTGATGAAGATATTGATTAGTTCCTATACATACTCTTCTTCTACATGTCATCTTTCTTTGCAGTGTGCGTTTTTGTGTGCTGACTATCCAGTTGCAGTAATACAGTTAAACAGCCCATGGCTATATCAGTATCATTTTGTTAAGTCATCACGTCCATCACATTTATTAATGCATGAGGGAGCGTGCACTATTGATGAATTCGGTATCATTGTATGCGGACGTTTAAATATGCATATACATGAAGGATGCATGTAAATTAATTGTGTGTTGATTGGCTGTGTTGGTGGGTGCAGTATCAGCTGTGTTTCCAAAAGTGTCAGGGTGTTCATTCGTGAAGCGACTAGTTAGATACTTCACCAAATAAGCGCCATCTTTGCTCATGTCATGCAGCACTGGCCGGCGTTCATTATTATAACCTTCGATACTTTCAAACGATAAAATGAAGAGCAATGTATAACATGTGCGCAATTCTCTGCGGGTAGCTGTATTGTCATTTGTCATCATTCTCATCGCTGTCTTCGCTCTCCGGTCATCATCTGTTTGCTGTTGCTGCAGAGAACCAGTCAATCAAAATCTGTTGACTACGCGGAGTGACGACATCGAGGCAGGATTCTTGCCTCCCGACGCTGCCAAAGACGGAGAAGGTAATATTAAAACCCGCTGTATGCAGCCGTGCACGTGCGCGACATTCTCTGAACTCACCTCGTCTCTGCACACGAGGTTTACACCCGGCAGGGTTGTAATCGTACCTCGGCGAACGTCGCGGTCTCGTGCCGTGTCCTGATTCATATACCGGGAAATAAAGTTGCGAGAAGAGTGGGATACGAATGGCTAAATCCCCAGAAGTGATGACGAAGTGAGAAGATGTGATGCGGACGGTGAGTTGGGGCTGACGGACTATGATGGAAGTAGAGGGTACTGGGAATGGCTTCTTCGTGGTCCTAACCGTACGTTTTTGCGTTTCAGATAAAAACCAAAACAAAGAAAAGAGTGAGAAAAGTAAAGCAGGTAGGTTTAGAAGCTGGTCATCGGTAAATATTGTTACGTCTGAATTATATATATTGCCATTGTGTTTTACCTTACGTACTTCATTAATGCATTCCGTACATTATAATTAAATTATGCATGGTATGTGGACTATGTTTGCATAATGAAGCATCACAGTGTTTTTGTTCTTAATTGGTTGCTAAATATCAATACAATAATTATTTCTTAACCAGTTTTTGATTCAAATAGTTTCTGTGGGTTGTAGATTTCAAAGATGCTTCCAATGGTAATAAAGAGAATGGCCCTACACCCAAGACACCACTTGCAACAGGTGCCCCGACAGGTGAGTTATCTGTCTTCTGTACATTGCCCTTCTTGCGCTGGAACTTTGTTATCCTGCCCTTGAGATTTTGCGAATGTTGTCTTTCCTTGTCTGTGTTGGTAAAGTGGCGTCATCTGGGGGCCATTGCCAGAAGCATCATAGCTCTGCGATAATGATTAGTGCTGCTGAGAGGGTCTATGTCCCCCAGGGTACAGCCGGAACGTACCCTGGATACGGTCCGGTATACCGGAACGTACCCTG